GCGGTAGGAGACGCTGAGCGATGAGAAAACTGGAAGTAAAACATTCGTTTCTATCCTTTCCTAGCTGTGACCTTGAACTGCTCAAGGCCATCCACTTCTTTGATACCACTCTCTACCAGAGACAGCAGTGCAGCAGTGAAGAAACCAAGCATAGGGTTATGAAAATGCATTTGAGTAGAGCTGCAGTTTGCTGGAGGTGTCCCCAATCACTATGACATTAGACAAAAATTAAGACACAGTCCAATCTCCAAGGCTGGACTTTTGATGAAAAACAAACATTTAGACTATGGATTCTTTTTCTCTGAGACTGAGCAGGTCAAGGGCAAGTCTGAACACCAGGCAGGAAGAAGCCAGAGTTAAAATTAAGAGAAGTTTTCTCTCTCCCTCAAGTTTTTGGAGCTGAATTTATATAATTAGACATATACATGGGGTGATGTCATTACATGAAATAAGGGAATACAGTGTATTTAGGGCTGTCTATATAATTTAAGATCTAAGAAGACTGTTCAGATTTCCCAGCAGGACTTCTCAGGTTTTACTGTTGTCTACCAGTGCCCCCACGGATCTTGTTAACATGCACATTCTGATCTAGCAGGACCAGATACTTTTAAAAATATTTATAACTAGCACCCAGGTAGCACAGATGGTTGACCAAGGACCACATGAGCTATGATATGGAAAAGCATGGAAGGGATGGTAGATACAGGTGTCCCAGTGAAAATTCTGGAAACAGAGAATTGTGTCTTGGGTCTATGACCCCACATTGATGGGAAGCTGAGATGGTTCCCTCTTTGTCTCTTTCCGAAAGTCTTACCGTTCTTGGTGGGGTCATAGGGGGCACAGCCTACGGCAAGCTTCTCCAGCTGGGAACAGCACCTCCACCGCCCATCCATCCAGAAATTAGGGTGATACTTGGATACCAGGCTGTTGTTATTCCTTGTTTCTGTAAGAAGTTGGAACCAACAGAGGACCAGTTGATCAAGCACTAGCAATCTTTTAACTCCCTGAGATGGGACTCTGAGGCAGGCGTGTCCTGAGTGCTAACTAGGATAGCCAAGGCAACCCATGATGTTGCTTATTAAGGGAGTGTGGGTTAAACCAGTCAGCAGCAGATCTAGTTTCTCTTCTGGATCTGTCTCCCTTTGGCTGTGTGTCTCTAGGATGGGGAACCCTCATGTAAGCCTCACTTTCCTCAACTTGATGAGTGTGCTCTACGATGAAGCCTTGGGGGGGTGTTAAAGAGAAAGTTGGGAGGGAAAAATTTCCATCTCTCTTATTTGAATGGCAGCAAACTGGCTATTTTATCTTTTAAGGCAAGGGCTCATGTAGCTGGGTATGTCCTTACACTCCAGATCTTCTTGTCTCTATCCCCTACATGCAGGGATCCCAGGTGGGCACTACCATGTCAGGTGTGTATGGTGCTGGTGTTAGAACCCAGGGCTTCATGCCTGGTAGGTTAGCACTCTACCAACTGAGCTGCTCTGGGGCCCTGAAAATTTGCTTTTATTCTCTCTAGGCTTATGGCTTTGAAGTAAAATTTCTTAGGAATAGAAGGGACTCCACTAGTTAAAAAACAAGAAAAAAACCAACATTATTGATTTTTTTAGAGCTCCCTCCAGTTTTAAAATTTGGATCAAAACTCTGATGTAAAATGGGGGAGGGGGGTGATGAGCCAGGCAGTAGTGGACATGCCTTTAATCCCAGCACTTGGGAGGCAGAGATAGGCAGATCTCTGAGTTGTAGGCCAGCCTGGTCTACAGAGAAACCCTGTCCTGAAAAACAAAACAACACAACAAAAAGATACATGAACACGAATGTAGCTGGGGCTCTTTATTATTTCTGGCCTAGTGTCTGTTTTCTACCATGGCTACTGGACTTGAGAGCACTTTCCAGTTGGCCTAATGTTTGCTGGTTCCTATCCCATTTGAAATTCATTTGACTCTGGAAGCCTATGACATACTTTAGCCTCATTTTTCAGACAGAAGTACTATGCCTCAAGACATAGCAAGGGTCTTGCTTCCTTACTCCTCTCAGCTGCCTAGAGACAGGTCTCCTGATACAGATGGGGCTTCAGGCTATAGAATAAGAATAGTAACATTGATCAAGTACTGTTTGGGGAGGAGAAGTTTTAAACACACCCTATATGTCCTAACTCATTTGATTCTCACAACAGCCCTACGACTGTGCTTAGATGACTTGTATAACTGAGGAAACAGAGATGCAGGAAGGTCCAGGTGAAAGGCTAACAACCGGCAGTGTCTGGACTTTCACAACTGAACCCTGTCTCCTCATCCCACAGACTCAAACACTGTGTGGGTTCTAATTGTGCTGCCAGGAATGTGAGGATGAAGAAAGGTGGGCATGGTGGTGAACACCTGTAATCCTACCACTTGGGATGTGGAGGCAGGAAGATCAGGAGTTCAAGGTCAGCCTTAGCTTCTTAGAAAATTGGAAGTCAGACTAGGTTCCATGAAACTCTGTCTCACAAACAAACAAACACAAGTTAATGCTTCCCGGGCATCAGTTATGCCTGCTAGTTCTAAGAGTTTTACCCACTGCAGCTCGCTCTGTGGAGAGATTCGATTACCCCCCTTCCCTCTCCAGTTTGACAGTTGAGGAAACTGAAGTTAAGAAATTGCCCCAAAGCATAAAGAAGAGCCAGGATGCCAACCTCTGGGATCTAACTAGAGGGGTCCTCACTCTAACCTTTCTTGCTCTACTAGAGTAAGCAAACATTTTTAAAATGCCAGATAGTAAATATTTTAGGTTTGAACAGCCAACAGGCAAAATGGTCTCATGTGGACACTTACATAGTCCTTTTAAGTGATTTTAAATACAGGACCTGTTTTTATCTTGGGGCCTCACATGAACAGGCGGTGTGGGCTGGATTTGGCCAGTCCTTAGCTTATACTTGTTGCTGCTCCTGGGCCCATGATAGAAACTCCAGGCATTGGCTAACAACAAATGGGACACATTTTGAACACCAATTGCTCACAGATATCACTGTGCTCCTTCCTGGAGCCCAAGCCCAGCACAGGACCAAGGTCATGGTGACTCACAGCACTGGAGTTTAGTTACCTTCTTTAAGGGTGAGCACCCAGCGCTGCCGGCTCTCACAGTCTGGAGCAAACACATACAGGATGTAGTTGTCATGCATGACCTAGAAACACAGAAGAGTCCAAGATGAGCAGGGCCCCCAGAAGTGGGGAACCCACCCCAGGCCCATCACAGCATTTATTACCATTTAACCTTGGCCACTAGGGAACCGGTGTGCTTTTCATCAGAGTACCTGGATGCTGTGCCATTAGGGGGACCCTGCGCAGTGTAGGTGGCTTCTCTTGGGTATCATGCCTCTAGTGGGTATTTGCCCAATTCAAGTAAAAAGGGAAAGAGAAGTTGGTCTTTTGACTGGATAACATGTTTATTTCTCATAATTTTTCAGTCTTAGGAAAACCTTCCTGGTATATGTAAATGTAAGTTGTTAGATGACAAACACGGACACAAGATACTTTTAAAAATCTTAGTAAAGTTTAAAATCCATAAGGAGTTGCCCAGCATAGACCCTGTGTGTGTTCACTCGGCTTTCTTCATGGATGGCATCCTACACAATCTGAGCACATTTCTAAAGAGGGAAACTACTAACCAAGCCTTGGGTCCTTGAAATGCCATTAGTTTTGCCCCACCCCCAGACTCATTTGTGATTAATACTTTTAATATCTGGGAATTTGTGTCATTCATTTTACTTCCAGCTTTATAATTTCCAACTCAGGCTGATTACAGTTTGTAATCTCAGCACTTGAGGCAGGAGGATTCTGCATTCTAAGCCAGGCCGGTGACGTGGAAAAGAAGGAAAAGGAAGGGAGGGAGTGAGAGAAAGAAAGAGGAGGGAGAGAAGGTCCAGCTCATTGGGGCCACTTTTCTAGCAGAAAAAAAAGTCCTGTTCTGTGACTCATTAAAAATGGATGATCTGGCTGGAGATGTAGCTAAAAGGGAGAGCACTTGCCTAGTACATGCTCGAGATCCCGGGTTCAACCCAGAACACTGGGAAAAAAAAGACAACAAGCTAGGGGGTATCAGTCCTTCAGGTTGGGAAACATAAAGGTGTGTGGGATATAGGAGGAGATATCTAATCCACTGGTACTGTAGACACGAAAGGCGGTGAGCAAGATAGAGACTAAAAGGTACACTGGCCAGCTAATGGAGCTTTCTGCAGTGACAAATGTCTGTGGTTTGCGCTGTCAACACATGACTCTCTAGTAACAACTCAACATTCACAATGTGGCCAAAGTAGTAACTGGCAAGCTGAAATTTAAAAACTGTCTGTCTATCTGCCATCTATCATCTTTCTTCTTTTCCCTTCCTCTCCCTCCCTTCACCCTCCCCTCCCTCCCTCCCTGTGTGCCTGTTAAAGAGAGTACATCACAATGTGAATGTGGAGGTCAGAAGACAAGTCTCAGAGTACTTTGCTCCTACTTTCTGAGCCTGGGGGCTCTAACTCAGGTCACCAGGCCTGCACAAGTGCTTCTATCTTGCTGACCCCTTGAAAATTATTACTTATTTAATACTATTTAATTCAGATTGTCATCTCTAGTAAACATTCATTCACATTCCACAGGTGTCTGCTATTTTGAATGGTACCATATCTTCAGATGGTTATCAGATTGTGAGATTTCAGAAACTGCAGAGGAGAAACTGAGGAATTCGAACCCCCAAGGCTGGGGCTGTAGTCAGTGGTAGAGCACTGACCAGCATGTACAAAGCCCCAGGCTCAATCCCCAGCCCTATGGGAAAGCAAGAACCTGTCCAAGAGTCTCTGCCTTTGTAGAATGAATGAATGAATGTCACTAGTGGAAGGATAACACACAACCCTTCCTGTGGGCTTGGCTGTCAGCATGGGTGAGAATCATACTTTCTCCATCTTCTCTCACAAGGGCTAGGGATTCTAACCATCTCCCAGGGACAGAAAGCTGTCCACTGTAGTCCCCGATGAGCTTACCTGAAAAGGGTACTTATAGTGGCATGGGATGCTAATGTCACTCTTGACAATCTCCACACACTTGATTCTGGAAAGTTCGATGGAGCCTTTCAACGTGCGCTTCTTCTGTGAGGAGACATGGCACCCATTTAAGTGAGAGAGAAGACAAGGCGTTCATTCTGATTGTTTCCAGAAATTTGCTGTTAGGAAATTTTCCATCCCTTTGTAAGCCAGCTGAGGTGTTCCCAATCAAATATCCTGAAGTTGCCTCCCGCCTCCATCTGAGAGGGACTCTGAAGAGACTCTTGGGAGAAGGGTCTCTGAAGGGTCATGATGGGGACTGATTTTTCTATTCAGTCTGGCACAGTGGTACACACCATGGTCCTGATGACACACATCAATGCTTGTAGGACTCATAGGTTGTGTACTCATTGGGAAAAGAGCTGCACGTGTGACAACATATCCTGCTCTGTGCTATCTGTGACCTCATTAGTAGTTGTGCTCACACTTGACAGGTAGTGAGGTACACTATTAGTGATGTCTTTGCCACATTTGGCTTTCCCACGTTTCTTAGTTATTCAAAGTGCTACAGTAATGTCCTGAAGCACACCCTTTCTCTGAACTGTCTTTTGCCACACACTCCATTACCCCCGATAAAATCACACTGGTCCCATGCCTCAGTCCTTGGGAAGCTTGTCAGATGTGTTGTCTGAATAACTGATGGTGTTTTATTTGATAATGATGTTCAGTGTTAGCTAAATGCCATTGTCCCCAGGAAATGGATCCTAGGACATGAGTCATCTTAACTAATGAGACATTCTATTAGTGAGACTGTCAGGCTCTAAGGAAGGTGAGTTAGGAAAGGCTTTTGGAGGTAGGAGCCTTTCTCAGGTGCCTAGAATGTGGCTGCCATTGAGAATAAAGTTTCAGTCAACTATGGAACCATTTGTGAAACACGTCATTAGATGTCATTCTTTCTGAAGGCATAAAACCAACACAAGATTGGAGGGGCGGGTTTCAAGTTTGGTCTTTGCCTTTTGTTAATGCCACAAACTTGAGCAGTTCATCTAACTTCCAAGAACCTTTTTGTTTGTAGCATGTGAGGCCAGTCCCTGCTTCATGGGGTTGGTTAGAGAATAAGGAAGGATGATGTAAATAAATTGTGTAGACTTGTTTAGCACTGGGAGTTGTACACCATCAGATTCTCTAGAAAGACCAGTCTTAGTTTTTTGATCCTCTGCCTGGAAACCAATCTTCACTGACTAGTTGAGGCAGAGAACTGATGTTAGTCTATATCAGTGGTTTTCAATCTGTGGGTTATGACCCCTTTGGCAAACATCTATCTCCAAAAATATTTATATTACAAATCATAACAGTAGCAAAATTACAGCTGTGAAGTAGAAATTCTTTGGTTGGGGGTCACCACAACATGAAGAACTGTATTAAAGGGTAGCAGTATTAGGAAGGTTGAGAACCATGCTCTACAGCAAAAAAAGTGATAATTAAGCTTCTGCTTGCAGTTATATCTCAAAATGGAGGGAGACAAATTTGGAGTCAAAATTCTACATGAAGTTCTGAAGCTGCAGTGCTCAATAAAAGTTGAAATAGAATGTGAATTGTACATGTAATTTAAAGTTTTTCAGTTGAGCATAGTAGCTTATATTCATAATTCTACCACTTTGAGGTTGGGGCAGAGGAATTTCCACAAGTTTGGAACCAGCCTTAGCTACAGAGCCAAGGCTGCCCTTTCTCAAAATAATTTCTTTCCTATAAGTATATTCAGAAAAGCAATAGTAGTAAATACAATTAACTTTGATAGCTATGTTATTGAACCCAAAGCATCTCAATTACTATTGTTTCAAGCTAGCCATAAAAACTGATCAATTCCTCTCTAGCCCTAACATTTAAAATCCTTTATTTTTCATACACCTCAGCTTGGACGTGCCACATTTAAGTGCTCACATAGTTTCCAAGGAGATTTCTTCCTCTCTGTTCAGATGATTCCTAGTATCCATTTGTTCCACACATGGACTTGAAGAGACATTTGTTCCTAACCGTCATTCAGATGAGCCCTTTCAGTCAGAGAGATCTGATTGTCCATCATCAACCTCACAGTTGGTCCCTAGTAACTACTTGGGTCCCCACTCCTTATCCATCTGTCCCATCAGTCTCCCAGAATTTCACACGATTTGATCTGGGAAACAGCAGGCATAGATGTTCCCTCCCCAACTGGTCAGTGGGAGCAGCGGGTCAGGAGCTAAACACAGTTCAGTCTCTGGGAAATGATAGCTGCCTGCAATCTTCCCAAACAACTGAGCTATTTCTGAAAAACAGCAGGGTAAGGTCTGCCAAGAAAACCACACGAAAGCCAGCAGAAGAGGGAGAGACCACGTTAGCTTGTCTCCACTCTTCCTTGTTATTCTGACTGTCTGTACCACACAAGGTCACAAGACTTTGGGTAGCATTGTTCAGAGCTAGACTCTCTCAGGAAATAATGCCAGTGGTCAATGAATGGAACCCTGTGAAATTAAGAAGCTCCTGCACAGCCAAGGAACACAGTTAACTGAGTGAAGACACAGTCTGAGAGACACCTTGCCTGCCATACATCAGACAGAAGATGGATATATAAAATGCATCAAGAACTAAAAAAAGAAATCTCAGCCACAGGAATGCAAACAACCCAACCAATACATGGGATCACGAAACTAACAGCTAGTTCCCAGAGGAGGAACTCAAATGCTATTAAACACATAAAAAGAGCTCAGCTTCACTAACGGAAGCAGAATTACAAATGAAAACTATGTTGGGATTCTATCTCACCCAGTTAGAATCACAGTCATGAAGAAAACAAATAAGATAAACGCAAGCAAAGATGTGGCAGAAAGAAGCCTTATATACCACTGTTAGGAGGAAACTAGTCCAGCCGCGATGGAAACCAGCATAGTGGTCTCTCTAAAAACTACCAGTAGATCTACTACTACATGAGGCCGCCGTGCCTGGGTATTTACCCAAAGGACTCCAAGTCACTACATCATGGAGAAACAATGCAGCATTTTTCATAACAACTAAGTTATGGACTCAGTCAAGGTGTCCATCAACAGAGGGAAGGATCAAGACAAGGCTGTGTAGATACACAAGAGAACTTTTTCAGCTACAAAGAAAAACAAAGTCATGTCATTTGTAGAGAAATGGACCCACTTGGAGGCAACCATAGTAAGCCAGGCTCAGAAAGATAAATATTACATGCTTTCTTTCATATTCAGTTCCTAGATTTTATAGATACATAAAAATCACCCAGATATGGAATGAAAGTAGAAGTCAAAGTGTTGAGAGAACGAAGGTGACTTCGAGGGGGAGGAGGAGAGGAAGGCAGGGGAGTGAATGTGTTACACACAATATATACCTGTAGGAAAATGTTCTCATAACAAAATACCAGGTACAATAAATGGTGAAATTTTTAAAAAATATAACAAAAACACAGACACCCTCAAGAGGACAATTCCAAGTGTCCAATAAACAACAGAATTTCTGTTTTCTACTTTGGTAGGGTTGAATACAGATGGGATGCTTCCTGATCAGGCAGACTAAGGTTCAAACCCTGACTCATTCCTCACCAGTCACACATCCTCAGGCAAAGGTTTCAACATCTTAGTAACTTTGTAGTAAAATACTTAAAGATTTATTTATGTATGTATATGGATGTTTTACCTGCATATATGTATGTGCACCATATGAACGCAATGCTGTGATGTCAGAGGAGGGCATTAGATTCCCTGGGACTGGAGTTAAGGATATTTGTGAGCCACCATTTGGCTGCTAGGAACTGAACTTGGATCCTCCGCAAGAGCAAAAAATGCTCTTAACTGCCAACCCATCTTTCCAGCCCCATTATACCTTGTTTTCATAAAAGTGGCAAAAAATGGGTCCTCAGTCATTGAGTTAACCCAGAAGTTCTGAAACAACTGCATAGAAATACTGGCAAGTTAAAAATCATTCAAGTGATGAACTGTCACTCAAAGGTGTCTCACCTCCTCTCCTCCTTCCTTTCCACAGATGAAGCCTGTGCCCTTTTTGCCTTTATGTATCCTCACTTTCTTTGCTCAAATGTTCTTTTTTATTCTTTTTTTTGGAGGGGGAGGGTTTGACACAGGGTTTCTCTGTATTGTTTTGGAGGCTGTCCTGGAACTTGCTCTGTAGACTAGGCTGGCCTCGAACTCACAGAGGTCTGCCTGACTCTGCCTCCTGAGTGCTGGAATTAAAGGCATGTGCCACCAACACCCAGCTTCAAATGTTCTTTTATGTAACCAGGAAACATCACTGGGGAAGATAACAGTCATACTTAGCTGGAGAGAATTACAATTTTGATGGTTGGACTCATATGTTTTCCTAGTAGTTTTCAAAATTAGGACAAAATCATGGAAGGGGTGGCTTCCTGGCTTCCCCTGAGTATGTCTATGTACTGGACCTCCCTGGCATCAGGCTGTGAGAGGAGCCACCTGCAGCACTCTCAATGCTTTGATGTGATCAGGATCTTACGAGGCATTTCAAGTGTTCTGCTCAATGCCCTTTCTGGGTCTATGGTACCATCTGAAACTTCACAGTGGTCTACAACATTTTAATCCTGATGTCATATGAAATAAAACTTAAATGACTGACATAGGGGGTGTCATTTTCCCTAGTCACAGAAATTCTAAAATGGTTTCAGGAGTTTTTCTCCATTGTAGTTTCATCTTCTGCTGGGAGCTTGCTTGGGGCAATCCACACATTCCACATTCATCTCTATTCTAGCAGTAGGCGGGAGAAACACAGAATCAGACTTGGAGAGTCAGGATTGTCATTATCCCTACAGATGCTTAACACAGGGCAGTTGGGGGCAGGGCCTGCAGCTCACTTCTTCCCTCTCTGTGGTTCTCTTGGTCCTTGGGGATTGAGGGGATGCTAGGTGCTGCCACTGAGTGTGACTATGGCCTGTGCTGCTGGAAGACCCCCAGGAAAGATGAGATCATTGCTGTCTCTGAGAAAAAGGCATCATCCTGCCAATCATCAGTGTGCTCCGTAACTAGCTGTGGTTCTTTCTCTCCTTGCTCTTGCCCATCTTCACTGGACCTGGTTAAGTAATGGTGGCA